AACAAAAAGGATATGTAATCCTTGTTGGGTATAATATAATTCTTATATATTTACAAAACAAAAAAGAAATATTTCTTTCATAGAACGAAAAGGATGTGTAATCCTTGTTGGGTATAATATAATTCTTATATATTTACAAAACAAAAAGAAATATTTCTTTCATAGAACGAAAAGGATGTGTAATCCTTGTTGGGTATAATATAATTCTTATATATTTACAAAACAAAAAGAAATATTTCTTTCATAGAACAAAAAGGATATGTAATCCTTGTTGGGTATAATATAATTCTTATATATTTACAAAATAAAAAGAAATATTTCTTTCATAGAACGAAAAGGATATGTAGTCCTTGTTGGGTATAATATAATATAATTCTTATATATTTACAAAACAAAAAGAAATATTTCTTTCATAGAACAAAAAGGATATGTAGTCCTTGTTGGGTATAATATAGCATAATTCTATGTCCTTTATATATATTTATATATATATATATATTTGGTTATAACAAGTAAATAGCCTCAGTTTACTTCCTACATCTCTCACTCTGCTAACACTCTGAGTGCATATACTATCAATAGGCTGCTGAATATAACCTCTACTGATATATCCTGTATATCGTGGCTCATAATTTAAATGACAAATGCAAATTGATTCACCAATTGACTAACTGGTAAAGTTGAAGGACTCTACCAATCCTTCAAGTTAGATGGCCGGATGTGCTAAGTGATCATCTGAACGATTTTAGTGAATTCATCTATTGTTAAGATCAAGTACACAAACACACATTCACACATGAATAAGGCAGGGGGAACTCCAAGAGCTACACTGGAGCTACAACCACAAATTATTGCCATCACAGAAACAAAACTCACGTACATAATAGAAGATGCTGTTATGTACAGCATGTAATTGGTGTTTGGAGGAAATACCAATAGTAGTCGAGCCCAACACACAGGACTACATAGTAGGCATTGGTAACCATTGAGACTAAGAAGATAGTGTAATGGTCATAGACAACCTCAAGCAAGCAGCAGGAGGCCTTGGGAGGCTATAATGAGAGTAATAGGTTCAGTCTTATGTTAAAGAAGTAGTAACAAAAGTCAATGAGATGCACAGGATTAAGTCATGTAGCTCAATAGGAAGTGACAGGAAGCCAAAGACGGCAACAAAGAGGCATGGAAAAAGCACAGAGTGCAGAGAATTAAGAAGAGAAAGAGACAGAAAATCCAGGACCTCACGAGCAATTTCGTCTTGGTTCAAACCCTGGTCAGGAAGGGTTGACAGGGTGCTAATTCCTAACTGTTTTCCCCCTGTCACAAAGTTAGAAACCAATTGGTGGGTCATATTCCAGGGAATCTAATTTGGTAAACAAGTACATTTAAAGAGAATTGGATAAACAGTCTGAAAATTACAGCAACAAAAGCTAAGTCCAGTCAAAGCAATAAGTCACATAAGACATCAGTCACATTAGAAGGAAAACGAATGTAAAGAACCGAGTGATTAGCCTGAGAAGAGACATTAATGTTCTCACAGAAAATAACAGAGACCTGAAGATTTCAGAAAAAAACCCAAGGGGGGGTTTTAAGATTGGCACTGGAAGTCGAGCCTGGCCTCAGGCCGGGGTCGGGGAGTAGAAGAACTCCCAGAACCCCATCCAGCTATGCTATGAGTAGAAACAGCAATGCTCATCAGTGTGATTGCTGATAAATAGGTAACCTAATATAATAAGATATTTCAAAGGCAGTAGAACCAGACCGGATATCCCCGTGGGTACTAAGCGAAGGTGCGGGAATACTAGGTAAGCTTATGGGCAATTAAGTAGACAAGTGGCTGCTAGGTTTCAACTCGAGCAAATTCAGTGAAACATAATGTAGCGAGGCACTAAGAAAAGAGTAGGATATTGCAGCATATGAAGAATTTTGCTAGAATTTTGCTAGAATTGCTAGAATTTGAATTTCGAATTTGTTGCTAGAATTTCTAGCAACTGCAATTTAGAATTGCAGTTGCTAGAATTTTAGAAATAACAAGCTTTGGGCGCTTGTCTAGCGCCAAACCCTATGCAGAAACCCTTCGTAAACAAAATAACATCAGAAACTAATTCGAAACGGGCAAAAATAAGAACAACAGTTTAACATGAGGCAGGGATCAGACAATGAGCGGACACAGCTGGAAGCAGGTGAGCAGACGCTGAGCAGTCAAGATGGCGTATGTGTGGAAGCTTTTCCTCAGCGCTGGGCAGTAAGTCGCTTCTGGTTAGGCAAAACCACTTTACATTTTCCTGCTGACACGTCGTGAGAACGGGCTGGGTGAGCGGGAGTGAGTTAAGGACTAAGCGGACATGTTAACGAGACACTACAGATACCGTACCTCACAGATGTACACTCCGAGAGGTCTATCGGTGTAGTAAGAGTAGTTTTCAATAAAGGTGCATATATATACAGAGAGTTTACTTTAGTATTGGACTATAGTATAGAGAAGTATACCTGCTAGTTGGTTAAGTATACGCTATTGTGGGTTGGCCTTAATGACCATCCTACGGTTGATAGGTCTTAAGCTTCACACCAGATGAAATCATTCGCTACAGGACAACTTATATATATAACTATAGTTATATATAACTTCATACATGTAGTTATAACTACAGGACTATATAAACAACACAAACCTCATCACACTGATATTGAGAAGCGGAAAAAAGACGACATAATGATCTCGTCATGGGAAGAAATCTTAAATTGAAGAAAATATACAGAGTCGAAATGTCTAGCCTAATCAAAGTCTGGAGACAAAATTGGTAACTCAAATCGGCCATAGGATCGGAGTGACAAACAGAATGTTGTTTAACATTCCTCAATTACTCCGAACAAAAGTAGCACGGGCTATGGCAAGTCCGTAGAGGACTTGACACAAGAGGCAATTGAATCGGAAGCTATATTGTCTTACTCAGCTGAGGACTGAAAGGCGGGGCCCGGGAGCTGTACACAGTCTACCTTTGATAACTTTACTAGGAAGCTCTAAACTAGGGACTAGACTGCCGGGAGGTAAAGCTAGTTAGTTTTGCTTTAGTTTAGTTAAGTTTCTAAATCAGCTAATTTAAATGTTTTTGAAGATCTAACACTTTTAAAGCCTAACACATTGGTATTAATATTACTAATAATTATTATTAGTAGCTTTAATAAAGGCAGTAGTAGTTCTAGTAGTAGAAGCCGAAATAATAGCAGAAGTACGGAGGTAATAGCAGTGCTATTAATATGCGTTAGTAGTATCAGTAGCAGTTATCAATAGTAATAACAATAGCCGTTACACTTGTAGGGATTAGACTAGCTGATGTTGTGTTAATGGTATAAGTTGTAGAAACTATATAAATAGTAATAGCAGTCTATTATATAGTTGTAGCATTAATAATGTTATTATTGTCGTTGTAATCATTATACTCACTCTTATGTAATCATTATACTTATACATTTCACTCTATTATAGGCTTCATATTTCTGAAACTCAAACTATATGATGAGACATGAACTCAAATTGTACACCCTGAAGTTGCACTTGAGAATATAAACTTTTTCCAAATGGAAATTATTATTATTATTAAATTGTTTCTTGGATAAAGTCTATTGTAGTTATATTCGTTAAATCGTTCAAAAGTATATATTTAATTGAAAAAAATGCTTGTCTCTCTTTTAGTCATATATTTATGAGATTTTTATGTGATATTTTAGTTGATAAAAAGAATCGAAATACCCCAATATGACAGTCATTTTGATTATAAATTATTTGTAATTAATTTTTTTTTCATGATAATATTGCTTTAATTAAATATTTTAATAATTAAAAATCGTTTTTGATAAACTTTGAAATATTTCTGAGGGTGACTAACAAAATATATGTTTTCTTTTGATGGCAATAACAATTTAAAGGATATATATATATATATATATATATATATATATATATATATATATATATATATATATATATATATATATATATATATAAATTTCATTCGTGTATTAGGGTACAGTAATTTTTGGGCCACCCTGTTATGTACAGGCTTGTCGAAAAGTTGTCTTATATGGTAATTATAACATATATTATTTCCTTTTCTCCACAAATTTGATCAAATAACATGTTTTCTCACACTATCCTTCTTCTTGGTCTTCACAATTCCTCGTTTATTTAATAATCATTCGTTTAATCTCCCCAAAAACCCATTTTCTATTCATACGTCACGTTTTCTATAAAACATGGTTGTTACTCATCATGTTTTCTGTAAAACATGGTTGTTGCTCATCACGTTTTCTGTAAAACATGGTTGTTGCTCATCACGTTTTCTGTAAAAGATGGTTGTCATCACGTTTTCTATTCACAAAGAACGTTTTGTATAAATGTAGCTCGTCTCTATATTAGCAAGACCTTTGTTGTTCACATAACGTTTTCAATTAATGCATCACAATATAAATATATACATTCATACAGAATGGGTTTTTTTTATATATCCATGCAGCACAGTTTCTATCCAAGCAACACGTTTTCTATTTAAAGAACAATATTTACAGCAATTTCTCGCTTTTTTCTATATTCTGGTGTGCCTCCGTATCCCCTTAAGGACGCAGTTAGGCGGTTGCAACCTCGACATTTGGGTTCCCTTTGAAGGATTAATAGAGTTAAAGCGATCTTGTCAAACCGCTCTGACCGTTGAAGGGTCATCTCTCTTACTGAAATAGACAGTGACTCCTCCTCTTCCTCCTATATATATATATATATATATATATATATATATAAGGATGGTAGGTAGGAGAAGATAATATTAGTGTTCAGTGAGAAACCACAAGGTCTCCTCTGAATACTTTTTATTTTCTTCTCCGAGGCTATGGGTCCCCACATTGGCACCAGAGGTGGTACCCTCACAAACTTTTATATATTTATATATATATATATATATATATATATATATATATATATATATATATATATATATATATATATATATATATATATATGACATATGTAAGCTGTTATACATTGATATACGTGTGTTTTTACAGTAATATACTCTTTGTTAATCGTGATTATATACACCTAGCAGTACACGTAATATATATATAATTGCTATACGTGTGCTACGCACTTGATATAGGTCTGCTATACAGTTGATATATTTGCTCTACAGGGAGTATTAAGGTCCCGGATCTGCTGTATGATTTGCCGACCGTGTATGTTTATGGTTAGCTTCCTCTGTGCTACCTTACAACATCAGCTATAATAGTTTACCGTTACAACGACATTTCACCATCAAACTACCACCTTCACCATTATAATCACCCCACCAAACTATGACTTTCACCATCGCCCTATCAACCATTATCTCATCTACCACCATCACCTCATCATCATGCTTTATAATATAACACACTTCTCCTGTCTAGGGTTGACCAACCTGGTTACCCCAACGCATGACCCGACTCCTCCACCACCACTACCTCTACAACCACCACCCCCACCACTACCCCTACAACCACCATTACCACTACCACCACCTTTAGCCAGCGTCGAGGGAGAGTTGTTGGCGTTCTCGTCGTCGGGAGTGTCGTCGCTGAGGGCGCTGCCGGTGTGGGAGATGCCGGAGATGGTAGCGAGAGTGGCGCCTGAGACCGTCGACATGGCGCCCGATGACTTGCGACGCGCGGTGATCGACAGGTCGCTGAGAGACATTCGGAGACGGGAGCTTCGTCTCTCCTTCTTCTGATAGGGGAGAGAGAGAGAGAGAGAGAGTAATAACTAAATCTTCTACCTCTTGACTCATTTGCATATCCGGAAGTAAGACAGGAATCACGTACGCGGTGACTTAAGGTTTCCCAATATCGAGTATCATCCAACTTCAAGAAGGGCTTTGACCTCAGACATCCCCCCCTTCCTTCCCTCCCCCTCCTCACACGTCTCAATAAAATATCTTCACTGTTTGGACGTTTCTCCCACAATGTTTTAATAATCTTAATTCTGTTCGACATTATATAGATACATAAAAGAGCTAAAAAAGAGCCAAAAGTGTATACATAGAGAGACATTACTAGAAGGCATGAGGACCTATTTGTTTCTTCCGCGTATATCGATAGGCTTTGATGTATTAGCTTAAATAGGCTATGTTAGGCTCGGTTGGGATAGGTTGGTTTGGGTTAGGCTGCTTATATAATCCCTTGGCAAACCATATACATGACTCGTATCCCATTTTACAATGGATTTAACATAAAATCACAAATATAATAATTCCCCCCTTCAGATATATCTTTCCACAACGCGGGCTTCCGTGTCCTACATTCATGGTCCCTGCTATCATAAATTCTCTTAATTATCATTCTCCCTCTTTCTCTTCCCTCTTTCTATATAAAGATAATCTTGCTTATCACATTGATCCCGTGTTCCATATACAGACCCTGCTTGTTGTTTTATGTTTGCTTTGCTTTGTATGTCTTCCCATATTTGTAGTGTTGTTTTTCTCTATGTCCTGTGTTTGTTAATATCCTCCCCCCCCCCCACACTGTCCTGGCCCCACCTCCCATCTTCCCCCTGTGTCATTCTCTGTCCTCTCTCTCTCTCTCTCTCTCTCTCTCTCTCTCTCTCTCTCTCTCTCTCTCTCTCTCTCTCTCTCTCTCTCTCTCTCTCTCTCTCGTGTGCCTGGGTCGCCCATAATAGTAAATAATGTAACAATACAAGGCTGGCTTTGGCAGGATTACATAAATTTGTTACTATTATACTTAGAATTCATCTGTATGCACTGAAAATCGTGACACATACGCACACATGGTGGCTTTGTGGATAGCACGCTGGACACGTAATACTGTGGCCCTGGTTCGATTCCCGGCGCCGACGAGAAACAAATGGGCATTTTTTTTTTACCCTGATGCCCCTGTTACCTAGCAGTAAATAGGTACCTGGGGGTTAGACAGCGGTTACGGGCTGCTTCCTGTGTGTGTGTGTGTGTGTGTGTGTGTGTGTGTGTGTGTGTGTGTGTGTGTGTGTGTGTGTGTGTGTTGTGTGTGTGTGTGGAAAAAAAATTGTAGTAACAGTTGATTGGCAGTTGAGAGGCAGGCCGAAAAGAGCAGAGCTCAACCCCTGCAAGCAATAGGTGAATACTCACACACTTCTTTTGCAACGAGCTTCGTCCCAGAATTGCGATTGATGAAGTAAGAAGAATGACGGAAAGAATTAAATCTGACGATGCTAAAAAAGAGGAAAAAGAAGGGAGACATGTTAGAGATATATAAAATACTTAGTAAATTGACAGTCGAAAAAAAAAAGTTCACAATGAATACCAATAGAACAAATAAGCATAGATGGAAAGTTTGTGAGGCAGATGAGCCATAGAGATGTTAGAACGTTTTCATCAAGCGTAAGAGAAGTTGTAGAAGCGAATTCCATATATAATTCCAAGGGGGTAAAACTCCCACCTCGTAAACAGTGTGAGGATAAAGATAGAGAGAATGTACACAAAAATACAATTCTCCCCCGACTGCAAGGTGAAGGCTTCCCAATATAAACAAAATAACTGGAACATGTATAAGCCTTTGACTCTCCGAGCGCGGGAAATCCTCCAATCCTCCAGGCACTTATTTAACAGACGGTGGAAGAGGATTGGGGTGGGGTTAAGTCGCTTTGTGTTTATTGGGGGAAGAGGATTATTGTTGTTTTTCTCGGAGTCTCGACCTTTTTTTGTTTTCCTCTTCCATTCCGTTTCTATTTCTTATAATTGTGTTGTTGTCGTTATCGGAGAAAATTAGTCTTGTTTTTAAAGCAGTATGGGAAGGGGGAAAAGGGTGAAGAAAGTAGTGGGAGTTATGGGGTTATCTTGAGGTTATCTTGAGATGATTTTGGGGCTTTAGTGTCCCCGCGGCCCGGTCCTCGACCAGGCCTCCACCCCCCAGGAAGCAGCCCGTGACAGCTGACTAACACCCAGGTACCTATTTTACTGCTAGGTAACAGGGGCATAGGGTGAAAGAAACTCTGCCCAATGTTTCTCGCCGGCGCCTGGGATCGAACCCAGGAGCACAGGATCACAAGTCCAGCGTGCTGTCCGCTCGGCCGACCGACTCCTGAATATATGGAATATATACACCCTTCAACATCATCCTTCAAATCCCTACCACCCCCTACCTCAAGCCTCACCTCCTCCTTAGTGATGCCGAATGTGAGCACCAGCAGCTCCTTGAAGACGAGGGTGACATTGAGGTTATACTTGGCTGAGGTCTCCACGTAGGCAGCGTTTGGCATGATGTCTGTAGCGAAGGTGTTGGCCTCCTCCCAGCTGACCTCCCGCTCGGCCGAGAGGTCCACCTTGTTGCCCACCAGGACCGTCGGAACGTTGTCGTAGCCTGCGGGAGAGAGGGCCGCGAGTTAGAGACACAGACGGTAGTAATGTGTACGTTTTGCATGTGGCTTAACCCGCCAAACACACACCGAAACTACGACGTTGGTAGAACGTTCGAAGAAGTTTTAACACCTCCTAACCAGTTATAACAACCAATATAGCAAGTTGTAACAACGTTCTAATACGTCATAAACACGTTAAGCCAAGATGTAACAACTTTATTACAAGTTAAAGCAAGCGGAAAATAGAGACAGTTTCGGTTTGTGTTTCTAGGTTTGTGTATTCACCTAGTTGTGCTTGCGGGGGGTTGAGGTCTGCTCTTTCAGCCCGCCTCTCAACTGTCAATCAACTGCTTCTAACTACTACTACTATTTTTTTTCCACATCACACACACACACACCAGGAAGCAGCCCGTGGCAGCTCACTAACTCTCAGGTACCTATTTACTGCTAGGTAACAGGGGCATTCAGGGTGAAAGAAACTTTGCTCATTTGTTTCTGCCTGGTGCGGGAATGTGTGTGTGTGTGTGTGTGTGTGTGTGTGTGTGTGTGTGTGTGTGTGTGTGTGTGTGTGTGTGTGTGTGTGTGTGTGTGTTTACTAGTTGTGTTTTTTTTTGCGGGGGTTGAGCTTTGCTCTTTCGGCCCGCCTCTCAACTGTCAATCAACTGTTTAATAACTACTTTTTTTTTTTTTTTTTTTTCCCACACACCACACACACACACACACCCCAGGAAGCAGCCCGTGACAGCTGACTAACTCCCAGGTACCTATTTACTGCTAGGTAACAGGGGCACTTAGGGTGAAAGAAACTTTACCCATTTGTTTCTGCCTCGTGCGGGAATCGAACCCGCGCCACAGAATTACGTATCCTGCGCGCTATCCACCAGGCTACGAGGCCCCCTGTGCGTGTGCGTGCGTGTGTGTGCACTCACCTAAATGTACTTACAAGGAGGAGCTTGGCTCCTGGCCCCGCCTTACGTATATTCTTAGTTTGTTGTAGTAACCCAGTTTCTAATTACATCCTTTTCCTGTAGTTGTCTCTGTATTTCTTCTAGCTTAAAAATTTTCTTTAATCTTTTTTTCAAATGCTTCTTTATCATTCTCCGTGATAAGGAGGAATGATAAGGCCTTCCCTGTCTTGTACAGAGTCTGATCACCGGGCCAGATTCACGAAAGCACTTACGCAAGCACTTACGAACGTGTACATCTTTCCTCAATCTTTGACGGCTTTGGTTACATTTATTAAACAGTTTACAAGCATGAAAACTTGCCAATCAACTGTTGTTATTGTTATAAACAGCCTCCTGGTGCTTCGGAGCTCATTAACTGTTTAATAATTGTAAACAAAGCCGCCAAAGATTGAGAAAAGATGTACAGGGGCCAGATTCACGAAAGCACTTACGCAAGCACCTAGGAACGTGTACATCTTTCCTCAATCTATGAGGGCTTTGGTTAAATTTATTAAACAGTTTACGAGCATGAAAACTTGCCAATCAACTGTTGTTATTGTTATAAACAGTCTTCTAGTGCTTCGGAGCTCATTAACTGTTTAATAATTGGAAACAAAGCCGCCAAAGATTGAGAAAAGATGTACAGGTTCGTAAGTGCTTTCGTAAGTGCTTTCGTGAATCTGGCCCCAGGTTCGTAAGTGTTTGCGTAAGTGCTTTCGTGAATCTGGCCCCTGGTCATTCAGTCATTTTACACTTGAAGTAAGATAACTGGTGAATACCAGTCATCTTACTCAACTGTATTCATCGTAGTAACCCCATAAATGGCCATAGAATAAGATGCGCCATTTATGGGGCATTTTAGATTGGACATCAGCCTCAGATATTAAGTCATTCTCATAGTACATTTCTGTCATTCTCTCGATTTCCTTCGCCATATCTATTCCATTCTATTTTACTTTCTTTTCTTTGTCTCCAAGCACAGTCTGTTGGGTCATGGTTAATGTTTTTTCTTGGTTACCTTCAGTGGTAACTTCAGTGGTTAGGTGCTACAGTTGGGGGTAATTATTTGGCTTCAGCTTAGTGAAGTTTGCTCATTATGTAGTCTATTGTGTCTTGTGTTGACTTTCCTCTTAAGTTCTGGTCTCTATGTTATTCCCTTTTGGAATTCTTCCCCTCATGAGGGGAGAGGGGGGGGGGGGGCGGGGAGAAGAGGGGGGGATGTGGGGGGGGGAGGAGGGGTGGAATGTGGGGGATTGGGGGGGGGATAGAGTATCCCGGACCCCTCCTAGCAGATATATAGATAGATACATAAAGAGATATATTGATAGAGATACCTAATGAGATGAAAGCAATCACATCTCTTTCTCACTATCTTGCTTCCCCTCACCTTACCTCACCTTACCTCACCACCCTGCCTCCCCTCACCTTACCTTACTACCCTGCCTCAACCTGTACCAGTCTCGTTAACTATTCGCGTATTAACAGCTATGGCCATTACCTAAACCCCCCCCCACATTCTCTCTAATCCTTCCCCCCCCCCCTGTTAACCCACCACCTATCCACCTACCCACCTACCCCGAGGGAGACTTACCTTTGACCTCGGTAATGAGGTTCCAGAGGCCCTGGGCCTCGTAGAAGCTCTGCTCGTTGTTGACAGCGAAAACGATAACGAAAGCTCGTCCGGAGCGAATCGAGAGTTCGCGCATGGCCGGGAAGCAGTGGGACCCCGAGGTGTCCAAGATCTCCAGCGAGTGGAACAGCCCGTCTGAAAAGTAGTGGTTACGAGGTCGTTAGAGAGTGAGGGAGGGTGGTTACGTAGTTAGGGGGGTTGTTAGCGAGGGTGGTCGAGTTGTTAGGGGTTAGCGTGGGTGGTTGTGTTGTTAGGGGGTTGTTAGCGAAGGTGGTCGAGTTGTTAGGGGTTAGCGAGGGTGGTCGAGTTGTTAGGGGTTAGCGAGGGTGGTCGAGTTGTTAGGGGTTAGCGTGGGTGGTTGTGTTGTTAGGGGGTTGTTAGCGAGGGTGGTCGAGTTGTTAGGGGTTAGTGAGGGTGGTTGTGTTGTTAGGGGGTTGTTAGTGAGGGTGGTCGAGTTGTTAGGGGTTAGCGAGGGTGGTTGTGTTGTTAGGGGGTTGTTAGCGAAGGTGGTCGAGTTGTTAGGGGTTAGCATGGGTGGTTGAGTTGTTAGGGGGTTGTTAGCGAGGATAGTCACGTAGTTAGGAGTTAGTTAGCGAGGGTGGTTACATAGTTAGGAGTTAGTTAGCGAGGGTGGTCACATAGTTAAGAGGTAGTTATCGAGGGTAGTCACGTAGTTAGGAAGTAGTTAGCGAGGGTGGTTACATAGTTAGGAGGTAGTTAGCGAAGGTGGTCACATAGTTAGCAGGTTGTTAGCGAGGGAGACAAATTTCACCCTACAGTATCAGACGCCAGAGTAACCCTGTACAAATTAGTTAGGAGATGATTAGTAAAGGCTGTTTGCTAATCTGAAGTTACAAGCGCCCACGGTTGAATGACATTAGCCCCTATTTAATGTTTACGAAGACCTATGGTGGTTGTGGGTAGTTAAATGGGGCTTGTGGATACGGGAATCGAATCTGTATAAAATAGTGTTAATAGCCTCGTGTGTTGTTTGGGAATCTGTTGTATATGACAGTTCTCAGTCAGTCAATTAAGGTCTTTAATGATGTAATTGGTAACAAGCAGCTGATTCAAACGTTTAAAAACTGCTTCAAACGTTTAAAAACTGGTTCAAACGTTTAAAAACTGGTTCCTTTCCAGTTTTTGAAACGTTCAAACGTTTAAAAACTGGTACAAACGTTTAAAAACTGGTTCAAACGTTTAAAAACGGGTTCAAACGTTTAAAAACTGGTTCCTTTCCAGTTTTTGAAACGTTCAAACGTTTAAAAACTGGTTCAAACGTTTAAAAACTGGTTAAAACGTTTAAAAACTGGTTCCTTTCCAGTTTTTGAAACGTTCAAACGTTTAAAAACGGGTTCAAACGTTTAAAAACGGGTTCAAACGTTTTTAAGTGATCTCGACGTTTTGGAAGTGATGATTGATCCGTTTTAATTGATCCAAACGTTTCTGGTTTTCTAAACGACTCAAGTGATTCCAAAAATGTCAACTGATCAGAACGTTTAAAGTGATCCAAACGTTTCCAATGATCCAAACAGTTCAAGTTATCCAAACGTTTCAACTGATTCAAACGTTTCAAATGATCCAAACGTTTCAAATGATCCAAACGTTTCAAATGATCCAAACGTTTCAACTGATCCAAACGTTTCAAATGATCCAAACGTTTCAACTGATCCAAACGTTTCAACTGATCCAAACGTTTCAAATGATCCAAACGTTTCAAGTGATCCAAACGTTTCAACTGATCCAAACGTTTCTACTAATCGAAACATTTCTGTCGGTTCAAAACATGTTGAGTGATCTTACTGTTGCAACGGATCCGAACGTTTCAAGTGATCCAAACGTTTGAAACGCTCCAAACGTTTATTAATAAACTGGACCGAACGTTTCTCCAGAAATGCTAACAGGCGATACAGCCCAGCAGTTAAGGCGTGTTAATGGCAATTCAGAAGCAGTTGTTGATCGTTAAGGTAAGTTTGGTCGTATGCTGAAGTCGTTATAACGAAACTATGCATCTGTGACCAAGCAGGAGTCGTTAGTAAACAAGGTCGTTAGTAAGCAAGGTCGTTAATAAGCAAAGTTGTTAAAAATCACGATAATTTTTAAGGCTACTTGTTGGGTCCAGCAGGAATATTCTCATCGGGAAATTCAGTGCTAATTAGGGTAGTTTGGGGAGGGCTCAAATCACCTGGAGTCATTAGGGGTAGTTGCTGACTAATTGGGTAGTTTGTAGACAACTATGATAACAATTTTGACAAATTGGCTGTGTGATGGTTTGTTCGGATGGTTATTTGGAAGGTTAGGTTAGGGTGTTCATGTGGAAGGTTAGGTTAGGGTTGTTCATGTGGAAGGTTAGGTTAGGTTGTTCATGTGGAAGGTTAGGTTAGGGTGTTCATGTGGAAGGTTAGGTTAGGTTGTTCATGTGGAAGGTTAGGTTAGGGTTGTTCATGTGGAAGGTTAGGTTAGGGTGTTCATGTGGAAGGTTAGGTTAGGGTGTTCATGTGGAAGGTTAGGTTAGGGTGTTCATGTGGAAGGTTAGGTTAGGGTGTTCATGTGGAAGGTTAGGTTAGGGTGTTCATGTGGAAGGTTAGGTTAGGGTGTTCATGTGGAAGGTTAGGTTAGGGTGTTCATG